GTGTTTGGTCTCCACTCCAACGCTGAGATTGGCTATTACACGCAGGCAGCTCGGGACATGTGGGCTCACCTGCTGGAGCTGCAGCCTCAGACAGGTAAACTCTACTCCGGATGACTCATTAGTTTGATTGGGGTTTTATGATTGCTTCTCGTAGCTTTCCCACATTGCTGATGCCTTTCCCCGAACCGGCAGGGTCAGGAGGCCCCGGTTCCGCACACAGATGCCTTGCTTTCTCTGAAAAGTGTCCTGGTTTTAGGGGAATCCAGCAGTGGCATCAGCCGCGATGATTATATTGGCCAGGTGGCCAAAGACATAGAAAACAAGATGCCCAAAGTCTTTGACTTGGACCAGGTGAGGAAGCGCCTCGGAACGGGAATCTCCCCGACTTCGGTGGTGCTCCTGCAGGAGCTGGAACGCTTCAACAAGCTTGCAGTCCGGATGAGCAAGTCTCTGGCTGAGCTTCAGAGGGTGAGCCTACCTCTCTCGTGCAGATTACTGCCTAATAGGTAGCACCTGGGGTTCTCACCGAGTCTTGCCTGATTGCTCTTGATTCTAAACAGGCCTTGGCTGGAGAAGTTGGAATGAGCAATGAGTTAGACGATGTGGCCAGGTCTCTTTTTCTCGGGAATATCCCTAATATCTGGAGGAAGCTTGCTCCTGACACGTTGAAGTCCCTTGGAAACTGGATGGTCTACTTCCTGCGGCGGTTCAGCCAGTACATGCTGTGGGTAAGTGGCACATCACTACCTCTCTGTCAGCCTAGACTTCCTCAAACCACCTCCCAGACCCCTTTCCATTCCCCAGCAGTAACCTCTGTTAAAGTTGACTGGGTGCTCTGGGAATGGTCTGAGATGCTTACAAGCATATCTGTATCTTTGTTTTTCCTTTTTTTATTTTCAGGACTTTGAAGCATACTACACACACCCGATTATGTTATCTAAGCGTTTATCTGGGCACTTGTTCCATATTAGTACATAGAAAGCGAGCTTGTTCCTTTTTAGAGTATGCCGTTGCACAAATGTTCCATATCCTTTCTCCTCCTTCCGTATCCTAAAAATATGGCAACCGCCTACATTTAGGTGGTTACCATATTTTTTTTTTTTTTTGCTAATACAAATAACATTCTGGTGCACATGTCTATGAATATGCATAGGGTGTACTCCATGGGTAAACTCTGGCAGTGGAAGAGTTGGATCTAAGAGCGTGTGCGTGTAAATTCTGCTAGCGCTTGTTGGATTGTTAGAAAAGACAGCGTATGAGTGTTTATTTCCTCACCGCTCCACAACACTGCGTACCTAACAGGTGAAAATCACAGCTCATTGTTTTGCTTCGCAAGGCTTTATGCTGGGTCTGAACGTATTTCACATGCTTTACAGACATTTTGTGTTTCTTTTTCTGTGAACTGTCTTTTTGTATCTGGATTTAATTTTTAGTGAGGTCTCCTTTTCATTGATGTTTAAGAGCTCTTTGCATATCAAAGAAATTAGCCTTTGGTCTGCCCGTGTTGCAGATGTTTCTCTCAGCCTGTCGTAAGTCTTGACTTTGCTTACAGTATTTTTCCCATAGAAAAGTTTTACATTTTTATGTAGTCAAACCTACAAGGCTTTTCTTTCTTATTCTGGGCTTTGCATTTCCTACTCCATGGTATGGAAGCATTCACTGGAGATGTGGTTCAGTTCTTTGATGGTTTTCCTTTTATATCGAAATCTTTGATCTGCCTAGAATGTGGCAGTTCAGGTTGTTTTTCTCAAACAGGCTGCCAGTTGTGCCAACGCCATCTTTGGCCACTCAGGTGAAACACGCACGTCTTTTATCATAAACTAAGCTCCCAGGCCAGCTTTGCCCTGGCATTGGATGGCAGCCCCAGGCTCCTGGCACTTGCCCTCTTTTCTCCCCAGGTTACTGAGAGTGAGCCCAGCGTGATGTGGCTCTCGGGGCTGCACATCCCCGAATCCTACCTCACGGCACTGGTGCAGGCCACCTGCCGGAAGAACGGCTGGCCACTGGACCGCTCCACTTTGTTCACACAAGTGACCAAGTTCCAGGATGCAGATGAAGTGAATGAGCGGGCGGGACAAGGTACGGTCAGCTCGTGAGGGATCCACAGCCTCTCACTTAGGATTTCTCTCCTCGAGCCACCTCCGAGTCAAAGGGACAGGCATAGTGTGGGCCACAGTGGGCCAGGACATGTTTGAAAGCCAGCCTGCTGCAAAGATTTCCTGTGTCTGCGGACAGCCTGTATCTTGACACCTCTGAGGGTGAATACGGAAGTTTCTCTTCCACTTTCTCCATTGAGACCTGGGGTCAACGGCAGGGGAGACCTGAACCATGTTCACTCCGCTAGTTCATGGGAAGTGGGCTTCTAGGTCAGAATTAGCTCTTGCAAAAACCATCAGGTGGCTTTCCTGTAACCCTTGACAGGGACCGGGGCATGGAGCCACCAAGCAGTGTGGACTAACTTGGCCGGAACTCTTAAATTATGCCATAACTTCATCTCTTGGATACTGGTTACTGACTGCACATGAGAGCTGGAAGCTGCTGTTTCCCGGGGTCATGTTGTCTTAGAGTTTACTTAACTGCAAGGAACAAAATCTCTTTTGAGATGGCTAGTGGTAAAGATGTAGGGACTCTCCCAGGTCCCGATGGCAGGGGAGCTGGCAGGTGGCCGGGGCCACATGAGCGTGCTCCTCTCTCTGCACGTCTTCTGGGTTCTCCTCCCTGGAGACCACTTTGTGAGGCTTTGACTTCCTGCTCCGAAGCCACTTAAGCTCACAGTGTAGCTGGGGTTGCCATGGTGCCCATTCTGACTCTGGTAGCAGCCTTGGGGGGGCCCAGGGTGGTCTAAGTGCATGTGCCTTGATGCCTCATTCTTGGGGGAGAGGCCACCACCCCACACCCACTTCTCTGGGCCATAGAGGAGGGCTATGGAGTCTGCTGCCTGGGCTGCTCCTCTACAGAGGGACGGCGGGCAGGACAGAAGCGCTGGAGGAGGGCCTGGGCTGTGTCCCGGTGTGCAGGGGAGGAGGCCAGCCAGTGGCCTGTGTGTTGCTGCGTGTGCACCTGATAGAGCCATTCCTGGCGGGCCGTGGATGCTCCGTTTGTATCCAGGCTCTCCCCTGTGTCTCTAGGATGCTTTGTCTCAGGACTGTACTTGGAGGGTGCTGACTGGGACATAGAGAAAGGATGTCTTATCAAGAGCAAACCCAAGGTGCTGGTTGTGGACCTGCCGATCCTGAAGATCATCCCCATTGAAGCCCATCGCCTCAAGCTGCAGGTGAAGGCCCAGCCCCTGCTCTCTGACACCAGGGACCTTCCTCTTCTGACTGTAGTTACGGCTGAGGTGGTTCCAATAGTCCTTTTTCAAACAAGGGTGCCTGAGCTTTATGGGCCGGGGGTAGTCTTGGAGCCATGATAAAAGCTACAGAAAGCCGCTTCCCGGGAAAGGCACGCGGTTGCGCACATGCGTGTGGATGCTATCTTTCCACAGGTGGCGGGCTCAAGTTGCAATCCTGTGGTCTAGACTAACCAAGGGGAGACTCCCTGCCCTCTTGTGAAATGCTGCAGACGTTGCCTGAGTCATAAAGTGGTTTCCTCTGGTGTGGACAGCAGATGCCTTCTGCTCTGCCTGGGCCAGGACCCACTTTTAACCAGTGTCTCTGTGTGAAGCCAGGTCCCCGTGAAGCTGGTAGAGGGTGGCCTTGTGAAGCCCCAGCCCTGTGTGTGTTCTCAGATGCAGTCTTGCACAAGGGCCCCCTGCCTGTCAAGCACTTTTAAGACTGCACCTTCACCCCCTCCACCCTCTCTCCAAGGGGGCGTCTCACCTGCCTTTCCCTTGCAGAATACCTTCCGGACCCCTGTCTACACCACCTCCATGAGAAGGAACGCCATGGGTGTTGGCTTGGTCTTTGAAGCTGATCTCTTTACCACCAGGCACATTTCTCACTGGGTGCTGCAGGGAGTATGCCTCACCCTGAATTCTGATTAACCTTTGGGCGAAGAAAGCTGCTTCATGAATTCTGCATCTGGGGCTGGTCAGGAAGAGTGACTGGGTCTGCTGTCATTTCTTGGGGCCTCTCAAGAGGCGGGAGAGGGATTGAACTGATTTTTCATTTGAAATTGGCCATTTACATACAAATTAATCTGAATGGTTTTGTTTTTAATGCTACTTTTAAAGGAATCTATATAATCAACAAGTAAATACTGGAGAGTATTTTAAGATGTGTGGAGTTTTCTTTTCCTTCTCTTTACATACAAATTAATCTGAATGGTTTTGTTTTTAATGCTACTTTTAAAGGAATCTATATAATCAACAAGTAAATACTGGAGAGTATTTTAAGATGTGTGGAGTTTTCTTTTCCTTCTCAGAGAACACTTGATTAGGCAAAAGTGCCTGACATGCATCGCATTGGCACAAGGGAGAATCCTCATGTAAATTTCTAAAGGTGTGTTTTTTTGCCATCCTGGTCTGTTTCAGCAGATGCACCTTTTTGGCAAGAAGGGCTGATGATGTGGGCACAGAGCAGAAGTGGCCAGAGTCACCTGCGGCCACTTCTCCCCCTTCTAGAACTCTCTGGCCCTGGCTCTTCTGGCTCTGAGCTGCCAGGGTGACTGTGAGCTGTTCAGCTTAGTGTTTAGTTCCTGCACCAGATTCTACCCCCGCCTGCCTGGGTCTATGTGGCGTTGGGTGAGGACATGGAACCTCCAGGACCAGTGGTCACTGGGCACCTATTCCCTCTGTGCACCACGAGGCTGGCCACCTGGAGTTGAGGGGTGGCTTCACTCCCCGAGGCAGGGCAGGGGCTAGCTGGGGCAGCGCAGTGGTGGAGGCCATCACAGGCAAAAGCAGCTTCCCACAGAGCCTCAGGAGCACAGAACATTCTCAGGACTAGCTGTGGGCAGGGAGGAGGCAGGAGTTGTCTCTGGGACCTGCTGTTGCTCCCCCTCTGGCAGTGTCCTCCAGCCCTCAGGTGGTTTAATAAAAGACACAAAACAGAAGGAAGGCAGGTTTAGAAAATAAAGTTTGTTGGGATCTTAAACATTTTGGTTAAACTAACAAAAAATATGAACACACGTTCAGGCTGTGGTGCTGTGAGGAGTAGCGTCGTCTTATTTAGTCCCTTGAGACACACACAGGAGCTCAGTGATCGGTGCCGCCCGGGGAAAGGTTGGTCAGGAGGTGAAGGGGGGTCTCCAGGAGGGAGCAGGGGCTGCTCGGCCAGGCTGCCCTGGAGCCCGGGGATAAGGTCAAGGTTGGTCTGTGTTGTTCTGACTTGAGAATGAATGAGGCATGTGACTATCCGGCGTTGTGAATATCAGGAGTGAGGCAGCTGTGGCCTGGGCTTTGTCCGCAGCGCACTTAGGTTACACGGAGCGAGATGAGCAAGCGATTCGGCACGCAGGCGTTTGGCCGCAGCAGTTAGGAAATACATATTCGGCAGCAGGGGCACGATCATATTTTGGTGTCAAGAAGAGGGCAAGAGGAGCAGGAGAATTGGTCGGCAGGGTGAAAAGAGTTTGGCATGCATGGGAATGAGACAGAAAAGTTGTGGCTGAGACTTCCTGGAAGTGCTCACAGTGCACGGACAGCGCGGGGTGGGCCTGGCGGGCTTCACACAGTTCTGTCGGCCCCCGGGTGCTTCCTCACCACCTTGCCTCCGTTCACCTGGTCAACCGCCAGCGTCTCCACCTCAGGCTGCGCCTGCGGCGGGGCGGCGTGGTGGATCCGATGCGCCACCCCGACGTGGGCCTTATGTGGCTTCTCTCGGGCCGGGCTGTGCTGCTCGCTGCTTCGGTCGGAGGCGATGGGGGGGATGACGAGGGGCCTCTCTTTGATGAGGTGGACCTCGGCAGACTCCCTGGCCAGCAGAAATGGGGTGGGGTCGGGCATAGCATCCACTGGTTCCCGCAAAAGGAGTTTCCTGCTCTCTGCCCCGAATCTGTAGACCTCTTCAAATTCTGGGTGCAAGGGGGCCGAGAGGCTCTTTTTCATGCGGCGGCGAGGCGTTTCAGGCAGCTTGTCTTTGGGGGGTGCTGGCTTGTAGCTGGCCAGCACGGGGCTCCCTGACGGGCTGGCATCTGAAGTCCCGCTGGAGCTCATGAGCTTCTTCTTGGCGGCGTGCAGCTGGGAGGTCAGGTAGGCGATGGTGCCGGCTCGCTGCTCCAGCTCGCTGGACAGCAGGGTCAGCTTGTGACTCTTGGCCTTCAGCTCCTCCAGGTACTTCCTCTCCCGCTCCTTGATGGTGTTCTCCAGCACCGTGATCATCGCGTTTTTCTGCTCCAGTTCTTTCAACAACTCGGCATTTTCCTTCTCTTTCACTTTCAGCTGGACTTCCAGTTCTTCATATCTTTTCTTTAATTCGCTGCTTCTAGAAGTCCCGTCTCCTACAAGAATAAGCCAAGGAAGCAGGTGAAGAACTCATCAGACTGAGGCTGAGTGGTGAGGCCTCTACGGGGCAGGTGGACCTTTCTGGCAGAGGGCCCTGTTTAGGCTGTGGGGGGCATGCAGAAGGCAGGCCTGAGGGGGTCTGGAAAGGCCCCTCCCATCCCCAAGGCAGAGAGAGCAGGGCATCTCTGAGGCCCTTTCCAGCTCTTAGTTCTCTGGCTTACTACATAAAAGAATGTCTCCAAACCTTAAAGAGGCTGAAGTTAAAACAGGCAACTGTAGAGTATTAGACCTCACCAAACACTTAGGGTTAAACTGGCAGCAAATCCCTCTGTCTGCTCAGATGGCATTTATGAAATGCCTGCTACATTCAAAGCACCATTTGAAACTCAAATGTAAAAAGAATTCTCCATGTCTTATCGCATTAAAACTCTGATGTTGAGAGGAGAAGGGGTGTGGGGCTGTCACCTTTGCTCTGCCACTGCCCCCCCCACACACACACACTCTCTCTCTCTCACACACACACACTCTCTCTCTCTCACACACACACACACACACTCTCTCTCTCTCTCCCACTTTCTGCTCAGAGACTGAGCTGTCCTCCTTTCTGTGGCTCTTGCCCTTGGCCCTTTGCTGCCCTGCCCTAACACCTCAGGCCTCCTTCTGCTGTCCCTGTCCTCACCCAGTCCTTCGGCAAATGCCAGCTGCCTCCTTCTCCTGCTCCTCTGGCAACCTGCAGTCCCTGGTCACCTTACGTAGCACCCTTGGCTCCCAACCCTGGGTCACTGTCCTGCTGCTCCTAACGCTGCCTGGCTGGCCACGCTCCTTGTCTGGCCCCTAGGAAGTTCTTTCTAGATTCTTTCTTGCTGGTCTGGAACTCACCTTGAATGTTAACTCCTGACTCAGTGTCTCCTGTGCACCACTTCTCCAAGTGAGGGCCGTGTGACACACCCTCAAGTCCAGAGGGCTGCTCTGCTTCCTGCATTTTGACTCTCCCAAGAAGACGGGATGGAGACATTGCACTCACCATCCCAGCCTCTCCCCTCCCTGACGGTGCCTCTCTGCCGGCTGTTCTGTGGACTCGTCCCCTCCCTAGGCCCTCCCTGCTCTGCAGCTGGCCTTGGTCCCACCCCCTCTCTGGTCTTCCTTTCAGTCCATCCTGTATTTAGGAAGCTTGGTCGCCCCTCTAAATATTCTTCTCCTCTGTTTAAAATGGTTCCTCACTGCCTAACAAAATCCAAACTGCTGGATGCTTTCCAGTTCCTCAGTCTGTCCCGAATGTTCTCTGCTCCCACGGAAAACATGACAAATCAAAGCTTCCATCTCTCCCTAAGCTACCACCTCTTGTTCTGTTTCTACTGTAACCTCCGTCCTTGACCTAACTCCAGACGTGCAAACCATTTCTCTGTACCCACTCCACCACCCAGGGCCTGCCTAGACACTGGACGCCACTGGACGGCTTTCCCGGGCCTCTGTCCCACCTTGAATTTCGCCACCTGCCTGAGCCAGCAGCAGATCTGCAGCACGTCCTGCCAGCCAGACTCGGAGCTTCTGAAGGCCCATGGCTCACTGGACTGGTTTTGTGCTGGGCACTGCAGGTGATGGGCGCTCCTCGACTTAGCATGGGGTCATGTCCCGAAAAATCCAATGTAAGTGGAAAATACCGTAAGTCAAAAGTGTGTTTTTGTTATTTTCAGCTTACTGTGGGTTTATCCGTGGTAAGTCGAGGAGTGGACTCAGTGCGTATTGCCCCATGTAGGTGAAAAATTTTAAGCTGAACCATTGCAAGTTTGTATTTTATAAAACGTGTCCATGTGTGTATATCATGTGTAATGTCAGCAAATGACCTCCCTAAAAAGGATGCATGCAATACTACCTTTCATGAGGTCTCTTTTTTTTGGCCAAAAGGAAAATAGATCCTGAAACACAGTTTCAGAGGTAAAGATGGGGGCAGACACCGAAACATATGAGTCTATAGACACCATAAGACCCAGGAGCCCGGCCATCTGGGCTGAACCCCTGCAACCTGAAATGCTGACCTGGGCCCAGCATCGGGCCTGGAACCCACTGTCCTTCCCCCAGGGCCTGTGGGACAACCATGATGCCTGTCGTAGGGCCTTTGCTTTCAGCCCACAGTCAGGTGGAGAGTGGGCCTTGGCCTCCTGAGGAAAGGCTGCAACCCAGACCTTCAACCACATCCCCGGCCTGTGTGAACATCCTGGGATTGTCTTCCCCCGGCAGTGCTGCAAAGGGCTGACAGATGTTTGGAACCTTCAGGAACAAGGCTCTCCCTGGGCTTTGCTCATGTCCGATGAGGGGCAGCTGATGGGGCCAGGCCACAAAGGGGGAAGGCCCTGGTGTTCCAACTGGAAACTCACACTAGTGGCGCATCTGTCATATGAAGATGCAGGTTCAGAGATGTCAAAGAACGTGCCCAAGGCCCCATAACCCCTGCAAGTCGGAGCTCACTACACATCACTCTGGTTCTTTCGGCCACAGCATCCTGAGAGACTGTTCCTGGACGGACATCCTCCTTATCCTCTTTCCTTGAGAGTAATCTAGCTTTGTGCAGCCTTGGCTCCCAGCTGATGTCTGCTGGCCCGACTTGAGTGGGCCGTCCTGTGGGAAGGAGCTGGCGCGACTGCTCCTTCATCCCCAGCTCTGGAGAGCTGCTTTGGTGACTGTCCTTCCTGGGAATCAGCACCTCCTGTTTTGCCAATTCCTTACTCTTTATATATAGAAAGCTCCACTCCACCACCTCCTCTGTACATACCCCTTTCTGGAAATTTCAGTCTCCCCGTGAAAGCTTTGTGCACACTGAGCCGACAGCAGCAACTGGTCCTGGTCTCCAAACACTGCACTGCTAAGCCTGGCTGAGGGTGAGGGCACCGCAGCGCATCTAAACCTGTGGACTCCCCGAGCCCGCCCAAGCCAAGAGTCAGTGCTGTACCCTGGGTCCCAGAGCTGCTTAGAACTGGGTAGGTTTTGAATGCACTAATGTAAAACATCGATCTTCACCACTGGGAGGGAGATGCCCCCACCAGAACCACCTGAGAGGCTTTTCACACTGCCTCCCCTGAGACCCAGCCCTTGCTGCGGGGACCTGGCTGCTGCTGAGAGCACTACAACAGGCAGGTGGGTGGGCGGGCGGCCTTGGGACCTGGGGTGGAGAACCCTGACTGGAGAGGCCACAGGGCAAGATGTGTGCTGCTTCAGATTTGCCTGGGCCAGGAGGAGACAGACAGCGAGGACGCCCGGGCTTCCATGCACAGGGAGCTCCTTTCCCAAGGCTTCAGTGATGGGAGGTGTGGGTGCTGGAGGTCCCCAATGTCAGGTTGAAATCCCGTTCCCCCGCATTCCCGGAGGCCCAGCTACCAGTCCCAGTGCTTCAGGGGAGGTCCCTGTCCCTCCACAGGGAGACTCCTGAGGACAGGCTACTGTTCCACCACCCCGAGAAGCTCACGGTGCCTTCCCTACCACACAGAGACAAAATGATGTCTGGGCTCCTGAAAGGCGCACTCAGGAGGCTGTAATATGAGCAGTGCAAATGGAAAAACATCAGTGCTTGGTAATCCGCTAAGGGTTGGTGGAAATGGTCCGTGTCTTTTACAAAGAACTGGACACTCATGAATAATAACTACCATTGTGAGGCCTGTTTAGAAAAAGGCATCTCTGCACAAATATGGATTCAGCTCTTTTCAAATCCCCACCCCATTCTGGGAAGTAGGCTCTTCACAGCAGGCACAGAGGCCCCTGGGAAGGCCTGGGTTTGTGTCTCTTCCCTGGCGGCCATCAGGCAGATGGCCTTTGGGGTTCCCTGAGGTCCTGGAGGATTCTGGTGTGGGGGGGAGGTTCTGGGGCTGCAGTCCAGAGAGGGCCCTGGATCCTCAGGGGGCTGTCTAGTAATGTGACTGCTTGGCCACCAGCATTTAGTGAGCAGCTGCTCTGTGCCAGGCCCACGCTAGGCAGCGGCGACACGACGGAGTGGGGCAGCTCTGCCCAGTGCTGCTGCCGCTGCTCCTCCTTTTGGGTTTAAGTCACATCTATTTTTATGTCCTGATGATACAAGGAACACGTTTATTGTAGGAAGTTCAGAAAAACATAAAATAGGCATCCCAAATATGTGTCAATCAAAAGAAAACAAAATCACTCATCCCCTTGCCCACCGATAACCACTTGGAACACAGAGGGATCCAAACAGCCTCCTTATCTCTCCTTAGAGAGCTCAGGCCACACGCATAACTCTTCCTAGAAGAGCGTTTTCTTCTCAGTGTGTGACTAGTGAATCAAACGGCACCGACACGTACCACAAAGGGAAATGTACTGTCATTTACTTCTGGGAGGAGTTCTTACCTGTCTGTTCGGAACTTTTGAGTGTCAGCTCATATGTTAAATCTAAAAGGGAAATGTTACACATTATTTCTGTTACTGTACATTTCAGAATCTTCATCAGCTTTGAAAAGGCAAAACTGATTCTCATGACTGGCCAGCACGTCCTGCTCAGGCAGAGCAGGGTTTGGCAGCAGGAGAGACAAGCGTGAGAGCAGCAGAAAATATCAGCAGCTGCTCTGCTCCCTGGGGTCAGAGGGCAGCCTCTGTTCCCCCAAACTCCCTTCCCCATTCCCCCATAACATATCCTAACAATCCCAAACAAGCCAGCAGCTGGCTCTACGTATCACACAGGCTACATCTTGGTTATTAAACGTATTGGAAATTCTAACCATTGTATTTTAATCTCCTAAGTCCTCAGCATGCCAAGGAAAGGCTTTGCAGCTTCATGTTCACTGCATCTTGATTATGCAATGAGGGTGACATAAGGCATTGGGATGGACTCCTGCGATGACAACGGGAGCTGGGGCAGGGCAGGCCTAGTGTGGTCCTGACGCTGGGCTCTGCCGTGCCCCACAGCTGCTCTGCCTTCCCCGGGCCCGCTCCCTGGCGTACCTGTGCAGTGCTGCTGCAGCCGCCTGATCTCAGCATGCAGCCCCTTGAGCGTGCTGGCGTGCTCCCGCTGAAGGAACAGGAGGTTCTTCTGTGCGCTGTGCAACTGGTTCTCCAGGTTTGTGGCTGCCATGCTGACATCCAGGGACCTGTGGGGAACACAGACCCTGGCTACTGTCCCTGAACGGGGTTCCAGGCCTGCCTGCCCTCTTTGGCTCTGGGCGCAGAGGGGCACATGCCTCTCAGGAGAGAGCAGAAGGAAACCACAGTGTCTGGAAGCTGGGGCACGGGGGCACCAGGGCTAAATTAGCATCACTGCTGGGAGGCCCTAGCCCAGGGATGGCAGCCTCGGCTTCCTGAGTGCCTTGGGGTGTGCCCTCGAACCTAGCACCATGTGGGGCACACGAATGAGTAAGGCCCACGCCAGAGTATAAAGTCACTTCCCTTTACTCATGAGGAAACAGATCAAGAGAGCCAGATTCATGAGCCTGGGGTCACACAGCCAGTGAGGTACGGAGCAGGATTCTAATCCAGGGACCCTGGTTCCAAATCCTGTCCTCTCCACACACCACCTCACCCCAACAGACTGTGACTGACCAAATCACTCTTGAAAGATTTCCCGGACCAGGACGCACTGACAGCTTCCTCGTGGGAAAAGCTGGCACCTGGGAAATGGGCCAAACATTTCCTCTAAATGGCATCTGGAGCCAGCCAAAGCAAGGAGGGAGAGCTGGGCTGAATTCCAGGGGGAAGCCCCCTGCACTTCACAGCACAGAGAGGAGCCCACAGATCCTTCTTGGGAAGGTTCAAGAATGTATCTCATGGGGCCGAGGGGTGGCACAGGCATCTGGAGTCTGTCCCCAGTGCTCCCACCCCCAGCTTCCAGCATCCAATGCTCACTCAGGGTCCCAGACTCCGCCTTCATCGTAACTCGAGAAATGTGGTGAAGTCATGAGTCTTTCTGGAAAAGCTATCAGAGTAATTCAAGACGCTTGTACAGCACTGACAAATACCAAGGCTAAAATGTGGGTTATCTGCTTATAAATTATTATTGTCAATACAGAGCCTCATAAAGCATTTTCCCTAATTTGCTATTCCAGAGAACCCTCCATAAAGGAGATACAACTTCTCAACAACTTTCAGGACTCAGCCCATTTGTAGGATGCCACGATAGGACGGTTTTGGAGACATTGACACACCCAGGCTGTCACTGCTTCAGACAACACCAATCACTCATCAATTATCTGTATGACAGTGACAGGCATGCACACTAGCTCTGGGGCTAGGACGAGTTCATAGCGAACTTCAGACATACACTTTCATCATGCGAAAACATTTCCCACGTACTGCTCAGATGGAAAGCCAAAGCCAAGGGCAACCTGAGGATGCAGAGAAGGAAATAAAACGTGAGAGCTCACAAAGGGGAGCAAACGACGACACATCCTAAACTGGTCCGGGAAAAGGAGGAACAAGAGGCCCTTTCACTTAGGTACAGAAACTGATGGGAGACCGGTGACCCCAGGACACGGCGAGTGCAGGCTCGGGAGGGGCACCTTGTTGTGGGCAGCAACTGGGCCAAGCTGATTAGAAGCCTTGGAATTGGTCATCTCTCTGAACCAGCAATTTGTTTTTAGTAATCTACCAAGGGGAAGTTACGACTTTTGTGTGAAGAGGTAGCTGTGAGAATAGTCATTAAAGTGCAGTTTGCAGTTGGAAAAGACTAGAAACAAACTCAAAACCCAACAGGGAGTGGGTTAAATAACTTAAGGAGACCATTTCTAGGCACATTTCTATAAAACAAAGCACAGAGCTCCCTGGCCTTTGACTCCCCTCGCATCGGGGTGCAGATGATTGCAGAGTTGAGTTTCCACCAGGCAGGCTTTCCTCAGTGGAGCTGTGAGCAGCCTTCCAGCAGTAGCACACAAAAAAAATGACGTTTCTGTCCCAGAAACCGTCTCTTTGCCGTAACCGCAAACTCTCCTGTGTAGGCTGCTGAGCCAGACATGAGTTTCTAAGTGGAACCCCACAGTTCCCAAGATCCCAACACTGTCTACACAGCACGTGGCCTTGAGGGGCGCTGACCTTAACAAAGGAGCCAGCTACGACTGAGGCAGCTTCAGCGTGTGGAGCACAGGGGCAGCGTGCTTGCTGTGGAAAGGGCGAGCACCTTCTGACCTTGCTGTTCCCTCACAAAGCAGAAAGCTTGAAAGCAGAACAGCCTCAGCGTCAAAGGAAGGAGAATCCCAGGAGCGCGGTGAGCGCTGTCTGTCAGTAGCGGTGCCTATGTCTTCCTTCAACTCAGCAACCCAGAGTCGTTCACTCTGCCATCAATTCCAGCACCTCACCTGGAGGGTGAATCCCGAAGAGCTGAAAAGGGTCTGGAATCGGGAACTCCGGCAGAGGTGCCTGGCCACTACTTTCAAATGACAGACTCAAATCCTTTCTGTTGACTGATGGAAGAAGCAGAGCCCCTATTTTAGTGGCTTGCTGTCAGAGAGAGAACCATTTCAATGTGACCCAGAATTGAGTGGGTCTCGGATGACAGGAGGACTGTCCCCCCCTTACCAGTGCTGTCCCCAGCTGCACGACCTGGAGGTGGCCTTGACGCTGGCATCCCCTACCATCCGTTTCCAGTCCATGGTGGTGATGCTGGCATCCTGCTTTGAAAGCAGGTCTCAGATCCATCCAACCATTCTCATCTCCACTGCTGAGGCCGCCTCACCCTCACCCCGACCAGAAAACCTCCCTCTGTCCTTCCCTGCCTGCTCCATTCTGCTCTCCACATGGCAGCAGAGTGATTCAGTTTTTTAAATTAAGACTGCTTAAAAGCCTCCAACGGTTCCCACTGCTCTGAGAATCGGACTGGTCTGCCTGGCCCTGTGACTGGCCCCACCACCCTCACTGGCCCTTCTCCTACCCCTGGGGCTCCTGGTGGCACCAGCTTTCCTCCAGGTACCCTGCCAGGCTGTGCTTTTCTCACCCTGGTGTCCTCTCATCGCCTCTCCTCTTCTTGGGCCTCCCTCCTGCCCACCTCTCCTGGATCTCAGCTGTCTACTCATCCTTTAGGCCTCAGAACAAGTTTACTTCCTCCTGGAAGCCCTGGCTCCCAGACTCAGCACCTGATGCCTTATGATCCTGTCCCCAGTTTTAGTCTTCCTGTCTTTGCAAGGGTCTGTAAGCGTGAGTCCACTCCCCGCCTCCTCGAACAGACTCCAGGCTTGCTCACTGCTGCACCCTAAGCCCCATCACAGTGCCTGGCACCTTGGAGGCCCTTGAATGGGCCCCTGGTGCCAGTCTGACGAGTGCAGCTGTGGTGTTGGGAATCAAAGGGCTTCAGGTTTGAAAAGCCTTGTTTCCAGGGACTTCCTACTTAGGTGCTTCATTTACAGGCACAAATTGCTCAAGCAAAACAGGATATACTAAAATATCCCAAAATGTCACAACCACCTCACCCGCCAGGAGGGCAGAAAATGGGATGTGCCTATATGTAGAAGTCTGTATTTTCTTCTCTACTCTCCCAGCGGGGGAGGGGGGAATGGAATAAAAATGTTGCCAGCAGGCAGGACATGGTGGCTCATGCCTATAATCTCAGCACTTTGGGAGGCTGAGGCGGGTGGATCACAAGGTCAGGAGATAGAGACCATCTTGGCTAACACAGTGAAACCCCGTCTCTACTAAAAATACAAAAAATTAGCCAGGCGTGGTGGCAGGTGTCTGTAGTCCCAGCTATTCGTGAGGCTGAGGCAGAAGAATCATTTGAACCTGGGAGGCAGAGGTTGCAGTGAGCTGAGATCATGCCACTGTACTAAGCCTGGGTGACAGAGCGAGACTCTGTCTCAAAAAAAGAAAAAAAATTATCAGTGGTCCCTATCACGGTGTAGTATCACATTTTATGTGTAACAAATTTAAATATTATTTTGGTAAGTATTCATATTCTAACTGCCTTGGTCAATCAGCAATTTTGAATTGTAACAACCGTGTATTTCATCAATCCACTGTGGTAACTGCAGAAATACAAGTGTTCTTGAAGCCTCCCCCTAGGATGGGCAGACAGCCTGGAGAAGAAGAAATGCCATGTGGGCAGGGAGAGTGTGATCACATAATGTGTGCAGCTCGCAAGTGAGTGCTGGTGAGCTGCCCAGAGCCCTGCCAGTGGGCAGACAAGGGTCTCCTGGCCTGGGCATTTCACTGATTGTCGCTCTCCCCTTCTTCCACACTCTGTACTGACTTAAAAGGCCCTGACAGGGAGATGCCATCCATGCAGGGCATTCTACAGTGGTTAGGATATTCTGGAATGAGGCAGGTCCACGCGGGGCCAAGGAAACAGTGCATCTCCAAATGGCATCCAAATTACTAAATTATTTCCTCATCAGCTCAAAAGAATAACAGTGTCACTGACTTTCTGTACAGCTCAAAAGACAGTGGTGTTTTCCACTGCGATCCTTCACTACTGAAGAGAGGTAATCATTGTGATGATGCCCTCCTCCCCGTACTGCGACATGACTGAAGCTGCAGAGGCGAGACCCAGCCGGGAGATGCACGTAATTCAGAGGCAGAAATGAGTTGGTCCCAAGAGGCTTAATTCAGTAGAGAGACACTTTAGAAACACGAAGGAGCATTCTTGAGATCCCTAAAAGGGTCAGCATGGCGGATGAAAGGAGAAAGGCAGGGCGTCTGCTGCAGACGAATGACGCAGCCTGCTGAGTAAGGCTACTCGCCCTGTCCTAGCTGTGTGTCAGCCAGGAATGGACGGCGGCTCACCCAGCCCGTCTTGCAAAATGCTTGCACTTTCTGTGTCAAAAGGGCATATGCTACAAATTGTGTGCTCTCTGTACTGCTGCAGTCCACCTTAAGGCCATCCAATTTTGTTTCTAAGCGTTGTTGGAAGCCATCAGCAATCTTACAGTTATTTGCTCAACCAAAGGCATCAAGGCCTGGACATTGGTCCTCTCCCCTCCTTGGAGAGGCTGCCCACAGCTGCAGATAATGGGGCTCCAGGTGACTATCACTTCAGGGTCTGGCCACAGCAGCAAACGGGCCAGCCCCACCCAGGGGACTGTGCACAGCTCTGCTAGTTTTCTCCACTTAGAAGACCAGCAGAAGCAATGCAAATGGATGCCTTGAGGGTAAAAGACCTGCTGAATAGGTT